TTGGTGGCAAATTGTTATCCTTTTGCTCCGTTAGTTTTGACTTTGTCTGAGGATAGGTTGGAGTTTAATAAGTAGCGGCTAATGGGGCATAACATGAAAGGTGGAGTATAAGTATGAGAACTCCTTTCATAAAAATTACTGCTCTGTATCCAACTACACGGGAATGCGCAGATTTAATGAAGATTATTCTGGTACTTTGCATACGTGAAATTCTTCAAGTTAAGGTCTGTTTCGAAATGCTGTCATTCCCATCACTAATCTCAATTTTAGTGGCGTAAGAAGCGTATGCGTCGTCTGAAGCGCAAGAGAAGAGCCCAAAAGAAGTAAAGTCAATGTATGTCCGCTCGTGCTGTGGTATTCGTCTTTCGCAAACCTCGTCCTCCATCTGGCCTTCTACTGCTCACGTGCAGATCAAGCAATGACATCGCTACCGTTGTTTTTGGGATTGTTGTTATGTATTCATTTTAATGAATATCTCATATTTATTGCTGTACGCAGACAATAACATATTAATGAAATGTTGTAATGGGTTTTCTGGTGTCCGTAATAGATGGTGCAGAAACAATGGTGAGCAGAGTTCCAACTGTTATCGAGAAGGCAAATATGATCAGCAATATTCTATCGATGACCATTGAGACAAATTGCCAATCAGCTTCATTCTGAAAATTACTAACATTCCAATGGAATTACTCGAAAAGTGGACCCACAATGTAAATGCCGTTGTAGATAGATTGTTTACGACGTTAAAGTCACATGTTCACACGCGAAACACACAGAATGTGTTTCGCGCTTCTACACTTACTCATTCTAAAGAAAGAACACGTTCAAGTGTAACATTTTAGAAGCTGGAGTGATCTCTCGTTGCAAAACTATCAGCAGTGTGCAAAGTATGTGATTTCGGTTAGAGATTAAGGTAGCAAATTTTGATGAACAAAAGAGATTCGGTTAGTGAGAGTTGAGATCACCACTGCGTATTCATTCACAATACATACGAATACGAAAACGGAAATAATACTTAGTGGCAATTTTACACTCATGTCTTGCACAACTGAGTTTAAAATAAACATGGATGCTGCTTATTCAGTCTGGTTTGACCTATCTGCTCTTCAAACTTTTGATTAAATGCCAGCTCATATTTAGCATTATAGCTTCATGAAATGTTTAATGTGTTTAGCTTTTTCAGGATATTGAACAGGTTCCCACACAAACGTATATAAAATGAGCATAAACGAGTAGGCGGAAGGCGAGAAATGGTAATATACGCTCTGTTTTTGAAACTTTAGATTTCTGTCCAGCATTCCTTTCTGGGCTATGGGCAAAGAGTCGTCCCCTGATTATGCTTAGACAAAAAGTGCCACAATAGATGGGCAAAATATGGTATTCCACCGCGAGCGTTACCAGATTTTTTCGTCTTCCGCCCCACACCCCATCTCACTATGCTCACCTCTTCCGATTTTCTCATCTCAGTGAGGGTGTGAGCGATGTATTGAACGTTTCGTTCTGCTCGCCTCAGCTTATTTCGCACTCTGCTTTGGGCTCCGTTATCAAGTTGTTCACTTTTCGACGAACATGAAGCATGCGAACTTTGCTTACGACGAATTTTGTCCTTTCTAAATAGGATTTTATCTTTGCGAGAGTTTTGTGGAATTTATGTTGTTATTAGCTTGTGCAAGCTGTTTTCTTTTTTGAGATAAGACGGAGTTATCAATGCCGAAGAATTACGTTGTTCGTTTCATTGGAGTAATGAATCCCGGCTTCACGCTTTTGGAACGATTGAGTAACGGCAAGTCGAGAAACAGCGAATTCACCGTGCTCATTTGTTTCTTATCTTTCGAGGCCATTTCGATCTCAAAAACAGTTTTTTGAAACTGCTTCTGAAGTATCGACATCGCTGATAGAGCATTGATTTGCTGAAAAAAGCTGAAATTTGCATAGCACTCCGAAAGAGTTCAATAAATGGAAGATCCTGCCTTGCTGTGCTGAGCTTTTCTATGAAAGTTTGCTTTTTCAGTAGCTCGTGAAATGAGCAGCCGTCTGCCTATTTTGTTAATGAGAATGCGGCGGACCCAATCCGACATAGGAAATTCGGCTGTGCGAAAGTGAAGGTTTTGGACCTGTTGTTTAGTTTAGCAATTGGTCGTATATTGATGAAATTTCGAGCAAAAAACTCCAAAAAGTTGATTTCAAACTCACAATCACGGTGAAGATAACAGATAATGAGACCATAAACATGGTGAAAGTCAGGTATTTGACTATTAGCGGTATGGCTATGCTTGTAGGTGGAATAATCTCAATCTGAAACCGT